TCATCTTATAAATGTTTCTGTTTTAATGTTAACCCAGACATTTTTCTTTTATGTTGTTCTATTTGTCTTTCACATCTTCTTACCATTACTTAAAAGGGACATGGTATAAATGTCATTTACAATAAGACGGGGAAATAACAAAAGCACAATCAAACAACAATTAAAAAGGAATTGCCCCATCCTCCCTACAGCTGACAAAACTGGGCCAAAAATTCAGTCACAAGCCCCATGTGGTTTGTATGGAACCTTTTCAAAGTCATCAGATCTTTCAGTCAACAAACCTAACTGATCAGACTTCAAATGCTAAATGTTCATGATGAATGCATGTGTTAAAACAGACACGGCATGAATACAGGTCACCATTAAACAGTGTGCATATCGTTACTTGACAAGCCAATTGGCTAAGTCCATAGAGATGACCAAACAATGCAGGGGTATACTCTCTCACTCCACATTAGCATGGTCATATGTATGTATCATCCTGCATCAAAGCAATGTATGGTAAAAAGTATTATTAAAGATGGCTGCATGAACGTATGTCACTTTCTGACAACAGCCCTGCTTCTCCAGAATTCATTAAGTACAGGTGTATGTAAAAATTCCCTTTATCAGTTAAGAGGATGTGAGATTACACATGATTAGAAGAACCACATGATGCAACATTAGCAAAACTACACTGTTTACATGGTGTGCAGGCAGATGTCACATGTCTGAAACCTTCTCCATACAAAGATACCTGCAGCTAGAAAGCTAGCACAGTAGGAAGAAGGCTAGGCCTCTGATGGGATGAAGCTGGTAACTATAGCCTTTGGCAGTGGTCCATAATGCTCCAGCTTGCAAAGACCTCCACTTCCTTCATAATAAGAATTCCGTTTCTCCTCTCCAGTTCTACTGAGAACAATGGTCAGGTCTCCTTTGGAGCCAAGCAAGTTATGAGATTTGTTTTCATATAAAATTTTGGTTAGGTTTTGATGGTATGGGAGGCAGTCACCTGTGGCAGCTCTTAGCAGCCCTTCCTAGAGTTCCATGACTAAACAGTTTGCTTACCTGCAAATGGACATTCCTTGATTGTGCAGCCACAATAATGAGAACTAAAGCCTGAGAAGAGTACCAGTCGAAAACTTCTAGGGCTAAACTGGGGGGGAGGAATTCTGGGCTGGCTCCACCCATCTTGAGGAGATGGGTGGAACATGCATGTGTCAAGTGGATGGGTCATAATACCTCTCTCGTTCTAGGTTCTCCTTGAGTGTTTTTCTCTTCCACCAGCCAATTTTCTGTTTGGACTTTTCGTGACTTCACCATGTATCATTCCTTCAAGCTTTTCTGCTCCCTGCCTAGTTGGTCCCACATCCTTCACCCACTCTTGCTTGCAATGAACATTGTCTGCTGCCCAGCAGTATCATTTCTCTTCCCACCCTGTTGTGCTCTGCAAGATACAGCTGTTTCTCTCCCCCCCCCATGTGATTTCCCACCTTTCACCAACTAACAAAACTAAGGAATGGAGATGGTCTGTCACATTGATTGCAAAGCAGAATGTCCCAAGTGGAACCCATCACCTCCAACTGAAGGATCTAGGGTAGAAGATGTTGGAAAAGACCCTTCTCTGCCTGCAGAGGTCCTGCTAGTTAGAGTAGACAATATTGACCCAAATGTCCTCAAGCCATAGAACAATTATTGCAGAACACTTTGTACCTATTGTTGTACTTAGAGTCTCCCTCCTCATCCGGAAAACTCATTTTCCAGTATCTCTTTGGCAAGGAAAGAAGGGTACTGGGCCACAGCTAATGTACACATTCCCAAGATTAGGGAACTGAAAACACATGTGTGTGAGGGGGGGGAGCAAGTTGCTTCCCAAGGGCGTAATCTTCGTGGGGGCAGCGGGGCATCAGCCCCCGCCGAAATTTTCAGGAAGGTGCTCAGTCTCCCCCGGGAGCCACCCTTGCTCCTAGCAAAGCAATGCCTCTGGCCCAGCCCCAGCCCCCCCCCCCGGGAAATTGGAAAGTCTACACCCTATGCTTACTAACCTCCAAAATGTCCTACTGCTGACACCCTTGCTCAGGTCTTGCAAACTGAGGGCCATGGCTTCCATTACTGAGCCCATCTCATGTTGGGTCTTCCTCTGTTCCTTCTGCCTTCAATTTTGCCTAGGATTATTGTATGATAGCCTCAGTTTGGTCATTGTACCTTCTAGGGAGAGTTCAGACTTGACTTGATCTAGAACCCACTTTGTCTTTTTTGGCAGTCCATGGTATCCATAAAACTCTCCTCCAACACCACATTTCAAGTGAATCAGTTTTTTTTCTGTCAGCTTTCTTCACTGTTGAACTTTCATATATAGTAATGAGGAATACTATGGTATGAATTATGTTGATTTCTGGCTCCTTCATGACTGCCCTTCCCAGCCTCAATCTCCTTCTGATTTCTTAGTTGCAGTCTCCCTTTTTGGTTGATGATGGAGCCAAGGAATAGAAAATATTGAACAATTTCAGTGCCTCCATCATCAATCTTAAAGTTGTGTAATTCCCCAATAGTCATTGTTTTTGCCTTCTTGAAGTTCAGCTGTAATCCTGCTTTGGCACTTTGTTTTACCCTTCCTCAGTTGTTTCAAGTCTTTACAAACACATAGGAGTCTTATTTCAAGCTTTTCCTAAAATCTCATAGTCTCATAATTATGGAACACCCTTCCCATGAGTGGCTCTCTAGATTCAGAAGGTACAACTAAACAAGATCCATCCCTCCCCCCCCCCTGTCTTGGTACTCTCCTGCCAACAGCTCCTACTTGATAAAATATGGATGTTTCCCTCTATTAAAACAAATAGTATTTCCAGTGAAACCATTTATATTGATAAAACAGCTGGGGGGAAGAGTTAACCTCCCCATTGTCCTGATAGAATTAAGAGGGGAAAGAGTAAGAGTTAACTTCTCCATGGTTCTGATAGAAGGGGCCCTATGGCTGCTGGTTATAGAAATTTAAAGGGCAGTAGTTCCAATAATAGACTTCCAACATCTCATTTAGCAACCCTGAGCAAGTTTTTGGACAGCCATAAAAAATTGACTGGGTTGTAGGAGGGTGTGGAGGAGGATGACTTTAGCTTCCCACTGGAATTAAGGATGTCCAAACCTACAGTCTGGTCTCTCAATTTCTTTCTTTAAAAAATGCTGATCACCCAAAATTGGTTAAAAGGGGAGAGAAAGCTTAAAGTGTTGGTAGTATGCAGGGGTCATTTCCTGTAGGAGCACACAGGAGCGGAGCTCTGGTAGTAAAGAGCCCAGGGGGTGGGCACATGCAACAAGCCCCACCCCTCCCAGCAGCCCTCAGTCTGAGCAAGAAGCACCCAAGTAAGTTGCAGAGCCCCGCCCCCATCCAAAACAGTCCAGTGGCACCTTTAAGGCCAAGTTTTATTCAGGTACAAGCTCTCCCTCCTCTGTGAGGACAGATCTGCACGCCCCCCCCCCCAATAGCTAGCAATCCAAAACAGTCCAGTGGAGCCTAAGCGGTGGGTGTTGCCTTCTGACACACTTCCGGTGATGTCGGGGGGTGTAGCATATACAAATGAGTTATGCTAATGAGCTCCTGCACCTCTTTTACTATGAAATGACTCCTGGTAGTATAACTTATGTGCTCCCTAAAGGTCTCTTATTTGGGTCTCTGATAGAATAATGGTGTAATTAATTATGGTAAGTAGAAACCCCTTTTTCATGGATGTTTGACTGGACAGACAAGACACAGATGGAGATGAACAACAAATGTTTATTTAACAGAAAATAAAGTATTTAATGGAGTAAATGTTATGTGTGGAATGCATCACTGTATAAAGTGAAACTGGCTTTTACTTATGGGTTACAAACTTTCCCCAATGAGACTGCTAATTTGTAGCTGAACCTCATGTAAAGTAAATAAATTATGAGGAGAGATTTAGTTCCCCTTTCTTCAGACACATTACCTCAGCTTACAAAGTTCCACTGGAATCTGTTACCATAATAGACATGCTCCTCTCCAGGTTCACAGTTGTTCTTTTACCACACAGAGCTCCTGTCCACATAATCGTTACACACAAGTTAGGAATGCCAGGCCCTTATCAGGATGCTTATTTGTCTCACAAGTTTTCTTCTGTAAGCTGATCCCAAACCATATCTAAAAGCTAATCAAAAACTTGGCTAAACTGATGCTCTTATCATTCCAGAGTAACAAATTCCCTGGTCTGGGGGTGGGGGAGTGGGCGGAATTGCCTTGACAAGTGAGGCTGGCTCACACCCTCCCTTCCAATGGAGTTCCATGGGCTCTGATTGGCTGACAATCACTTGAATTTGCATGACACCACAATCACAAGGACTGGTTCAGAGCCATGGAGGAAAGGAAAGGATTTTGTGAGATGACTGCCACAGAGGGAATCAGGATGAAGATAGAAAAACACGGGGCATTCAGGGCTCCATCCTTTGTTTTCAGTACAGTTCCAGCATCTTCACCCTCCCTTTTCTCACATTTTAGGTGTAGTCCAAGGCACTAGGGCTACTACTGAGGATAACTGAGGTATACTCAGGGGTCGTTTCGTAGAAAAAGAGCTAGGGGAACTCATTACCATATGCCACACCCCCTGACATCAGGGTCCCGGCGTTGGACCTGCAAGGCCGGTGGGAGTGCGAGGAAGCCCTGCCAAGGCCCTCCCTGGCCCCAGACAGGCAGGGGTGGGGAGAGGCGGGGAGGAAGCAACTTACCCTCCCTCTTCTCCTGCCTCCTCCTGGCTGAATGAGGGCTGGAAGCGGGGCGGCCGGAAGCAGGGGCGGGGCTTCATCGTGAGCCCCGCCCCCCGCACCTCACCCGGGGGAACTGTGTTCCCCCGCATTTCCCCCCCCCCGAAATGATCTCTGGGTATACTGAAAAATGTCTTGCATATCTTATTTGAGAAATTGACTATGCGTAACCAACCTATTGAGAAAGAAGACAATTCTGTTCAATTACAAATCAAATGTTTATTTTTAAACAGATTTTGCATTGTGGATCTCTACAAAAACACATAATGGGTTTGAAGTGGTTTCTTAAAGAAAAGGTCAGGCATTTAAATACATAGGCTTAAAACAAATTATTTGTAAGTCAGAGGGCTTTTTTCTCTTAACAAACCCATTCAAAAAGGCCTCTATTTTAAAAACCTGCAATTTTTTTTGTCTGAGGGCATTCTTTGATTATTTTGCATAGATAACCAATGTTCCCCCCTTGTATGTACAAGTCTTGCTTCAAAAGTATTATCCGGTATGAAAAGTTAAATTTTAAAAAGCCTGAGGTGTGTATTGCTTTGTGTGCTGTGTACCAAATAGAGGAAGAGAAGCAAGAACTAGCATAAACCTCTCAACAGCTCAAAGAGAGGGGAGTTTTTAGCCTAATTCTGGGGGGGGGGGAAGTTAGAGGAAATCCCTCTGATAATATGCAAATGGAAATACCATTAAATATCTTTTGGCTTAACTATTCACATTCCACACAGTGGAAATTATCTCCTGTAACTCAGAAATCAGGTTTCAAAAAATAACCTGCAAAGAAATGAAGTCTGAAACCATTTAGTTAAGACATATGTATTACCATCCTAGACCCTAAATGTTGGGCACGACTAGCACAGGACTGGAGCCACACTATAGAAAGAACAGTAACTGTGAGACTGTTATTTCTCTTTGATGTGTGTGGCTGCTAAACAGGAATGGCCTCAACATTGATACGATGCCAGACATATTTTTGGCACTTTCTGTGTTCTAACAAAAGAGAATTTTCAAAGGACATATAAATAAGTAGCATGCCTGTACTCTCCTTCCCTTTCCTCACATGGGTCCCAGGGTAGAGCTGGTCTACCACTGATTCAGGGATTGCCGCTTAGAAGTATCGCACATGACTGTATGGATTGTTTGTAGACTTGACCCACATAGGAAGCAGAATGGCACCTTGGGCCTGCCAAATTACCATGCAGTTGGTGGTTATATGACTGTTGGCTTGCTAAGTAAATGGGATGTAGTTGTGGTTTCCTGCTCCAGAGAACACAGGAGGAGAGATGACTGCTTTGGTCAGTGAGAAACAGGAGCAGGGGAGACCCAGGCAGGACATCCTAAACTCCAGACTATGACAGGAATTAATCTGTGAGGGTCCTGTACATGAAATAAAAGTAATCAATTGTAAATTACCTCATTATAACAAAAGGCTCAAGTAAAATGCATTGCTGAGGAGGAAGAAGTTAGTGCCCATCTTTCCTGACAGGGTCCCAGCACACTTCAAGCATATTACATTTTCTGAATGAAACAAGTGAACGGATGGGAGCAAGCAGATCGCTTTAAAGAGTATGAAAAAGAAAGTTAAGGAAGCATTATAGTTCAGGTAGATGTCCTCTTCTCAGCATTTTTTCATGGACACCACTGAGGTCTCCTAAGAATTTCCATGAGCTTGACTTCAACAAGGGGCATTCATCAAAATCCCTGCATGCAAAGATGCCACTCTATTTGGTCATGTTTGGGCAGTAGCGGACTCTTTACATACTATCACCGTACCTTATTCCAAATTCTAGTCTACGGTAAGTTATTTTTAGTCCACCATTCTATGGATTTATCTTGGCAAATTTGTGTTTTTCTCTTTTTTGTCCCCTCCAAACTGCATGCCTGTGGCAGTGCTGACATTATCTTCTTGTTCATTAATTGTGTACACTTTCCCTTCACAAAATTACAGCATTAGAAATCCTATAACATTTGTTTTAATTTTTTTCCTGTTTCCTCATTGTTTGCTGAATTACTTTGAGCCGGTGTATGTACTTTGAGACAGTGTATGCACACATATAGACATGCAGAACTGTAGACAAGCATTGAAGCATATGTGTAGCCACAATAAAAGCAAAATGCCAAATTATTACAGTTAGTTTCACAGAATATAGCAAGATTGTAGTCAATTATATTAAATACATTCACAAGCATCAATAAAGTGATGATGCATAGTGCTTCCCATTTATTGTATTATTCTCTTCATTTTCCTCTGTCTTTCCAGTCTCTCACATTTCCTCTTAGATATTAGTTTTTAATATTCTTCTTTCTTTTACCCCCTCCAGAGCATTTTCCAACCACCCTTCCTATTTACAAATTCTAATGACACCATTTTTCATTATAATGTAATTCAGTATAATCTGCAGTTTCTGTAAACTGTATATGAGTACATCCTTTAACATTTTCTTTGGAATATGTTTTCAATATCTAGAACACATTAATGCCCTCACTTTCAACAGGCAATTCAAATTATCAATGCCATACATTCTGGTAGAAAACAACCAACCAACCAAAGCCACAAAAACAAGAATCCTGACATAAGAGTGAATTAGTGAGATACTGAACCTAGGAACAGGGTTACAGGCATAAGTAGATGTGTCATTCCAGAGCATGCTTTCATAGGATGTAAAAGGTCATAATTGCACACAGGTAACATACATTGGTTTGGTTTGTGTCCCCACTTGGCACTCTAACAGGCACTTACTCTTCAAGAGGGGACATGGCACCTCTTAATCCAAGTCTATGGATATGCAGCGGCATTCTTTCACTCGTGTGATCCTCTTCTTCCTGCTGGGGGGTTGGAGTTCTGGGCAGTTCAGTGTCACTGACATGGTAGTGAATTTCTTTGGTTTGCAAAAGGAACAGGACTGGAAAGAGCCTTCCTCTTTGCGGATATGCCTTGGGATGTAGAAGGAATTGCACTGGCCATAACAGAATCTATTGATGATGGTCTGGCTGTTGCAGCCTTCCTCATGGATGGTTTGCTTGAGTGGTTGGGTTTTGCACCAGTCCCGTTTCAGGTACCTGCGCTCTGTGACGTGCAGTGCCTCTTGGCTGGACTCCAGCACTTCTTCAGCAGATGGTGTTTTGACTCGGTCCCTGCCTCGGGGTCTGGAGCCTGGCTTCTTCTGTATCTGTTCTGAATCATTGGGCTGGTCTTTGTCTGGAGGAGGGATGGCTCCTTGTGACCCACGGTTCCTCTTGCCCCCCTCTGCTGTGGGAAGCAAGAGTCCAAGCAAAAGTAGCAGAACTCCAAAGGCAGAAACTGTGCGAGCCATCCTAGGAAATATGGAAGGGAATATTATCAATTGAAAGCAACCCAATTTTTTTAAAAAAACCACAAACGCCCTGTACTATGTTTTCTCACATGTTTGGATTACAATTCATATTCTGGTTGAGGATCAGGATACAGGTTTTAATAAACATTCAGAATCAAAACTGAAGTCAGCCTTGGGGTACTCCAGCAACTACACTTTTAAAAAATGTATCCAACAGGAGCAATTGCCTTCTCATTCAGGCTATAGTGACAGAAATCTGTTCTCAAGCAAGAGATTATTCTAGTTCAGATTAAACTCTTTATATTTTCCAGGACTGCTGTCTAGATTATCTAACTAGTACTACTACCCTCATTACAGACTGACTCTAATAAAAAAAACCCAGTTCACCCTGCTCAATTCTCACTAAAATTTGTTTTCACCAAGTCTTGTTGCACATTTAGTGGCCAGTACCCTTGAAAATTCATGCCCCAACAAATTACTTTTCTTTAAAGTGCCACAAGACTTTGCTGTGGTGCATGCAAAAAACTAACATGATTACCCCTCTAAATCACTGAATCCTTGGTTGGCTATATATTGTTCTATGGCATTATGATACACAGATACACAGATGTTGTAGGGCTATCTTTCGGCTATGCTCCTGCAGCGTGCAAGGGGTTGGACTAGATGACCTGCAAGGTCCCTTCCAACTCTAACATTCTATGGTTCTATGACTTTCTTATAACCGTGTTTATTCATGTAAAAATGTTGACTTTTCAATACATGTTCCTTTCTACTAAGCTTGGTTCAAGCAGCTAATTGTTCACAGACATCCCAAGTCTAAATGAATCTAACACCGAACAAATGCCTAAACATGGCATGCAATAGTTGTAAAACTCCCCAAACAAAAATCTAAAATAGTCATTTAAATTTTCTGATTCAACAGAAAGCATTACAGAAATTTTGAATACCTAACAGCACAGCAATGCTAAGTAATTTCAAGCTCACCTCAAGATCAGCATTTCCTGGCATTTGCCAGTTTAGGATACAACTATCATTAGTTAAACATGTTTCTTCTGAAGTTCAATTTCCTTGTTTTGTCTTTTTTTAAAATCCCTTTTCAAAGCACAGCTTATCTTCCTCAGAAGATCAACATGGACCAAAATTGCACAGAGATGGTCTCTGGGTGAAAGTGTTATTTGATCTTGTGAGTTTCTAAACGGGAATTCACTGAACAAAGAATAAAATGCCTTGGTAAAAACAAAACAAAACCCCACCAGCAACAATGGGTACTTCTCCTACATATTCCTAGAATAACTAGTGAAACATTTTGTCATTCTTGCTTCAAGATCTGTTTTCTTATATGTATATTCCAGGCCATTCTAAGGCCACTCTGCCAAACAACTGATATTTAGTTTGGCTCTTGATTTCATTGCCATAACCTACTCAAGACCTCTTTAGTGCAAGCTGAACTACATGTAATAAAAACCATGCCTTATTTCTCTAATCCATTCTCATATATGTCTGTTAGTGCAATACTCAGTATTAGGCTACGTAGCATTCAACAGACTGTTTTTTAGCTTTAAGGTCCTAACAGCTTGGCTCTGAAATACCTGAAGGACTGCCTCCTCCCTTACTGTTCAGCCTATCAGTTAAGGTCTGCCTCCCAAGCCCTCTTCTCTGTGCCCCTGTCTTCTGAGATGAAGCAACAAGAGATAGGGCCTTTTCAGTAGCAGCACCTTACCTTTGGAATGTCCTCCCCCTTAAGGTTTGCCCTTCCTGTACTATCTTTTTCGGCACCAGGCCAAAACTTATAGATTTCCTAAATAATAACAATTAACAGAATTAGCATTTTACACTATATGAGGGCAGGACAGAGACAGACAGACAGTCTGGGTGAGGGCTCCGGTATGTATTCACTCATGGTCAGTGTTCCCTCTAAGCTAAGTTAGTGTGAGCTAGCTCACAGTTTTTTAGCCTCCAGCTCATACATTTTTGTCTCAGCTCAGGAAGGAGGGCTCCAGAGTAAACTAATTCATGCAGTAGCCAAATTGCTTGCTCACAACTTTAATGCCAGCAGCTCACAAAGTAGAATTTTTGCTCACAAAATTCCACAGCTTAGAGGGAACATTGCTCATGGTAGGTCCTCCTAGAAGTGTGTGGTAAACATGGGATTACATCATGTCCCAAGAGAAGATCAACACTTCTCACTTCAGAGTTAAGTACTGATGGGCCCCATTTAGGCTTGACTATCTCAGGTCCTGTTCACACGAGGCAATTTGGCCCGGGAGCAGGACAGTTCGGGGGCGGATCAAACCAGCGCGATCACACCACAACATCTGGGAAGCGTCGTGCTTCCACCCCCGAACTGGACCTTCCCGGGAAAAAGCGCCTCAAGTTGACACCACCTACCTCGGTGGTTCAACGAGTAGACGCGCTGCAATCCGGGCGTCTGATCACCGGTGCTCCCTTGCGCCGGCACAATCCCGGCCCGGAGCCGATCTGCGCATGCTCCGACATGCGCAGTTCGGCCGGCACCCGGTCTGAGCCATGTCTTCTCCCCAGCATTTGATCGCGCCGGGGAGAAACAGCGCCGCGGCCAGGAGATCCGTGGGATCCCGCCGTGGCGCCTCAACGTTGGCGCGGCTTTTAAAAGCCGCGCCTCAAGAGGCTTTTTTCCTGTCGTGTGGCAGGGGCCTCAGGAAGCTGTGGCAAACGATGTAGTTTCACCATGGTGTCTCACAGACTTATCAGAAAAAATTATCACAAATTCACAAGATAGCCTTAGGTAAGCAATAAAGGGACAATCAAACTGACATACAATGTAGGACTGTTGTAAGACCTGCAGGAAGGTAAAGTTTTTCTTTTAAAGCCATGTAAAATGTAAATGCTAAAAACAGTAAATTGCTATTCTAATAAAGAATATTAATGCACACTTGCACAGCACTTTTGAAACTGTGCAAAAGGTGCTTCTAAGTTCTCAGCCGTCATTCCCCCCCCCAAATGTGCCCCCTCCCAGTAAGTTCCCGCTAATAGTACACTGAATGGTCAACTTTAGCACAGAAGCAGTGAAAGGGCCACCTCACAAATGAGTGGGGTTTCTGCATACGTTACAGACATTTTAGTCATGCAGAAAATTATGAATTTGTACATTAAAACATCCCACACCAAATGGTTTGAGATAATGATTATGCATTCCCTTGGAATGCTGAGACAGTGAGTTGCAAACAAAAGAGGGGGAGGATTTACCTGCCCATAAATGCTTATAATATCCCAGAGAAGGCAATCTGAGTCAGGAATTTGCCCAGTGTCCCCTCTCCACAGAATTTCTTGACCCCCACCTGCACCTCCATATTGTTATTGTAACAGAAAGCAAAGGCCTATTGGACATGTGTTTCTGCCTGGAATAGCAGAGAGAAGTCCTAGAAAGGCTAGCATTCTATTTCCAGCAAAAAAAAAAAAAAGTTTGCATGCATCCAGAAATCATCTGTTCTGTATTCTCTGTATTTGAGTCTCTTCTCTGCATTCAGCTAATAGAAAAGACAAACAGAGGACCCACAAGGACTTGCAGGGGCATCTCATTTCCCATCCCGGAAAACCCCCTATAGCCTCTCCCTTTTTCCTGATTCCTTCCCACCCACCAGCCAACCTGCCTTATTTGTCTCCTTGTCTTCAACTTTCCCTCCTTCCCGCAACCGACAGCCTCTCCCTGGGAAAAGTCTGCACAGCTCTGACCACCAGGCTAAGCTAGGCCTAGTTGTACAGTGGGGAACCCACAAAAACTTGTACAGGGTATCCTCATTTTTCCTGTATACCCTTCCCCTAACTATTCCTTTTCCCCCCTCCTCCTGGCAGCCCCATACCTTTACTGGTTCCTTTTCTTCTTTCCACCTACCAACCAACCAACCTTTCATCTACCACCCATCTTCAGCAATAGTTATTATTCATTTACTTTATTTATACCTAACCTGCCTATCCAATGAGACCCAAAGCAGCTTACATCGTTCTTCTCTACTTTTCCCCTCACAATACCCCTGTGGAATAATTTAGGCTAGGAGCATGTTACTGGCCCAAGGTCTTCCATTGCAGAGTGGTGATTCAAGCCTGGGTCTCCCAGATCTGAAACTCTGACCACTACAGCATGCTTGCTTTTGTGCAGTCGCTACAGTTGAACAGTAGTGAACAGCTGATTCTTCCAATGGTTGCTGCTGTGCCTGTCCTTTGATGAGTCCTCCCCTCAGAGGCCAAAGGAAGCCTGGAAAGGCCCTACCGTTTACTGACAGAAACCAAGGCTTGAAGGCTGGCAATACTGTTATGGTTGCCTAGCAATGGTCATTGAGGGCATTCTTTTTTAAAGCTACAGGTGCTACTTTATTATTTTGAGAGGGTTCAGCCCCCAGCCCACCAATGTTTTAGGCTTTTTTTAAAAAAATGGGTTTTTTCTGCACACCTGTGGTTTTTCTCAGGTTTGTAGAACATCTGTCTTGTCTGTTCATGGTTCCAATCTCCAGATTTCAGTATCCATAGATAGGACCATGTTAAGAATTAGATGTATTGATTAAGGGGGAAGACACAGACTGCTCAGCCACAGGTTTAAGAATATCTAGCCTATACTTTGTCAAGTCTAGGCCTAGTGTTTCCAACCAGCTGAAAGTAAGCAACCTTACACTATGCAATTCATAGGTTTGAGCTTACCCAAGTCTGTATAGGAGCAAGCTAATCATTTACTTGCCAGAGTTATTATATAGATAATGGAGCACCCAACGTCTTGCACCCATCTCACACTGCAACCCGATCAGGAGTTCTGCAGCAATTCATAATGCTGTACAGCTGCAAGGCAATGCAGTCAACGGATAAAAATAATTGCAGTAGTCATACTTGCATTTCAATGGAAATGGTCCTACCTCGCCTGGTATGTCCCTGGAGAGCACCACGCTCAAATGACCAACATCTATTGGAAGTCACTGCCCCAAGGAGCATCCAGCTGTCCAGCTGAAAAGGCCCTGGCTCTTACTTGGTGGAACTCTCTGCCTGCTAACATCAGGGCTTTGTGGGATCTGTTACAATTCCACAGGGCCTGCAAGGCAGAGATGTTCCGCCAAGCAAACGGTTGAGGACAGCAACAGTTTTCAGCAGTTGAATAATTCTTAATAACTACCTGATTCACAATCTGCTTTCACCCCTCTTCCCCCATCGCTAATGTAATCTGGGGGGCCAGAATAGTATGATGGCACGATATGGCTATTGGATTTTAGAATTGTATTTTTAATAGATTTTATGTGTTTTATATTACTCTGTTATGAACCACCTGAGCCCACTTGTGGGGAGGGTGGTATACAAGCCTAATATATTAAAACAAATCAAAGCCAACAACACCAATTAAGTGCAAAGGTCACAATCCTGCATATTAGAAGAACTGCCTTTCTGGTGCACTTCACCCCCCCCCCCTTTATCTCAGAGGCATTCATCCAGAGAGAGAGCTGAGAAGCATCAGTGGCCTCCTGCAGCTCCATCTTCTTCCAGCTATAGCCACTCTTCCTTTATGCAGGAGGTAAACAACTCACAGTGCATAAAGGGAAGATAAAGCAGAGCTTAGACAAGCCAGCCTGACGCCCTTTCAAGGCTCATCCTAGCTAGGCCTTCTGAATGGCAAGTCTAGTTAGGACCAAATAGCCGTGCACATCACAGATCTACAGATATGTTTAATTGCTTCTGGATACAACTCATTCTGTTCTGCACTTGGCCAGCTGGAAAGCAATGCGACATGCTAACCCACAACTGAGCCAGCACCAGTGTTTGCGCTGACATCTACAAAGTTTTATCCGTCTACTCTAGTTCTCCCATCAGAGCAATGAATTTACAAAGCACAGGGTTACAAGGCGTTGCTTAGATAACTTTCCCCAAACCTATTGGACATAGAATCAGCACACACAAACCAATTTTCCACTCTTGGCTGCATATGCACATAGCAAAGCAACTGTGCCGTCATGAGTCTTGTTTACCACCAAAGCTTTGCCTTTCCTTCATAAACTGGATTCCAGATTCCTCGCGCACAAATAGTTCTGGCCAAACAAAAAACCCATCTGTAGGGATCTAACTATGTCATAAGAATCTTCTTTATTTCCAAGCAATGCTCCCTCTAAGATGTGGAGTCTTGTGAGCAAAAAATCTACTTTGTGAGCTACTGGCATTAGAGCTGTGAGCTAGCGATATGCCTGCTGCATAAGTTAGTTTGCTCTGGAGCCATCCTTCCTGAACTAAGACAAAAATGTGTGAGCCAGAGGCTAAAAAACTGTGAGCTAGCTCACACTAACTCAGCTTAGAGGGAACACTGTTTCCAAGTACAAGTTTTCAGAACTCAGGTTGTTGATATCCTTTTGTTGAAATCAATGGGCTCAGAAGGGTGCAACTCTGCTAAGGGTGGCACTGTAAGAGTCTCCATGTAAAGAAACCCATGCTCACTGCTTGTCTGACCACGTTTGTTTTGTGGCTGCTTCTTGTGTAGCCAGCACTGTCCAAATATGTGGAATTACAACCAAATACCACTCCCTGCTGCTCTAAGAGAGTAAAAATCTACCATTCATGCTTTGCAGATGGAGACAGTCTTGAAGAGGATGGTCTTCTTTCTGGCAAGGTCCTGTGGATTCAGTGCCCCTTCCTACCTGGGGCCTGCATGTGGCTATTTGGCATGCACATTCCCAAGAGGATTCTTCTTTACTATGACATCCCAGAACTGAGCACTAATACTTGCCAGGACCAAACTGCCTTTCTGGTTGCAAGCCACATTAATGTAGTGGCAGAACTTGCCATGAGTTTGCTTTACCATTTCCGTCCTCATATAATTATGACCTTTTTGCATTCAAACCCAACAAATAAAACCCTTCTCTTATTAACACCAATTCTCTCAAATATACCTTCCCTAAGGAAACTCCAAATCCTACTCTAAGTGCCACTGATTTAAATATAATTACTCCAGTGGAAAAGTATGCTTAAAGTTCCAATCAATGCATGAGAAATTGCAATCAGTGGCTCATTCACGTCCAATAAAGTGTTTAAAAGAAAGATAAGCTAGGCTCCCAGGGACAGACCAAAGCCTCCATGCTTACTAAACTTCTGCTACACAAGTATTTTAACGTGTTAGTGTGTGATTCCATATAGCAGTGATATGCATCAGGAATGAAGGAATATTGTACTATACACTCTACCTCTCCTTTTTTAAAATTCTGTGACTTCAGACCTTGCTCCACTGGAAGTCATCAGGACTCTTCTGGAGTAAGTGGCAAAGTGGATCACAACCCAATTTGCAACCTGCTGGATGCTCCATATATGAATACAGATAAAACTGACAACAGATGCCAATGCACATTCTACTCAGGGAGGGCTTTTATGTTCAGGACAAAGGGGTTGACCTTAATACTCCGCCAAACTAGGTGTGTACCAGACTTTCACATCAGGAGGAGATGCCTTGTGTCAACAGATTTCACCACCCTTAGTTGAATGGGATGGTGGGAAAAGCCAGTTTAAGCATCATATGTTAAAAAAACACCCTAGAATGTCTTCAGTACACCCATTTCCATTTAGCTCATTGAGATGATTATTTAGAAATACCTCTAAATGAAACAGAACTTTACTTCACGTAAGGAAACATTAAGATATACTCTGGTCATGGATTAACTGGTCCCATATCACCACATGAACTCCTCCCACTTTCACATGTAAATTCTCTATCCATCATTCAAAAACCCATGACTTGTCTTTGTGTTCACCTGAAGGATCTGCTTTCCTGGAGGTTGCTGTTGTCATTGAGGCAGATTCAGCATGGGTTCTGTAAGGGAAGATCTTGTCTCACTAACCTGTTAGTGTTTTTTGAGGGAGTGAACAAACATGTGGACAAAGAGGACCCAATAGATGTTGTTTACCTTGAGTTCCAGAAAGCTTTTGATAAAGTTCCGCATCAAAGGCTCCTAAGTAAGCTCAATAGTCACAGGATAAAAGGACAAGTCCTCTTGTGGATCAAAACCTGGCTAATTTATAGGAAACAGAGTGAGTCTCAATGGGAAACTTTCTCAGTGGAGGGTGGTAAGCAGTGGGGTACCACAGGGATCAGTACTCAGTCCTATGCTTTTTAACTTGTTTATTAATTATTTGGAGTTGGGAGTAAGCAGTGAGGTGGCTAAATTTGCTGATGACACGAAGTTGTTCTAGGTGTTGAGAACCAGGGAGGATTGTGAGGCACTCCAAAGGGATCTGTCTAGGATGGGCGAGTGGGCGTCAACAGGGCAAATGAGGTTCAGTGTGGCCAAGTGCAAAGTGATGCACATTGGAGGATTTGTAGTCAAAAATCCTAAGTATAAATACACATTGATGGGGTCCGAACTGGCAGAGACTGGCCAAGAGACAGAGCTTTTAGTCATAGTAGATAACTCAATAAAAATGTCTAGACAGTGTGCAACTGCAATAAAAAAGGCCAACGCTATGCTGGGGATTATTAGGAAGGGAATTGAAAACAAATCAGCCAGTATCATAATGCCCCTGTATAAATCGATGGTACATCCTCAAAAAGGGTATTATAGCATTGGAAAAAGTGCAGAAAAGGGCAACTAGAATGATAAAAGGGTTGGAATGCTTTCCCTATGAAGAAAGGTTCAATCGCTTGGGGCTCTTTAGCTGGGAGAAATGACGGCTGAGGGGTGACATGATCGAGGTTTATAAGATTATGAATGGGATAGAGCAGGTTGAGAAAGAAGTACTTTTCTCCCTTTCTCACAATACAAGAACTCGTGGGCACGCCATGAAATTGCTGAGCAGTCGGGTTAGAACAGATAAAAGGAAGTACTTCTTCACCCAAAGAGTGATTAACACATGGAATTCACTGCCATAGGAGGTGGCAGCGGCTAAAAGCAGGGACAGCTTCAAGAGGAAATTAGATAAGCATATGGAGCAGAAGTCTATCAGTGGCTATTAGCCACAAGGTATAGATAGGAACTCTCAGTCTGGGGCAAGTGATGCACTGTATTCTTGGTGCTGGGGGGGGCAACAGTGGGAGGGCTTCTAGTGTCTTGGCCCCACTGCTGGACCTCCTGATGGCACCTGGTATTTTGGCCACTGTGTGACAAAGTGTTGGACTAGATGGGCCATTGGCCTGATCCAACTTTGGCTTCCCTTATGTTCTTATATCCCTCTGGGCTGTAAACTTGATTGCCATTTTAATTTTCATAAGAGACTTTTCATGGACTTAAAGATTACAGATGTTAGGATCAGGGGCAAGGGTGAACAGAAAAAAGTAGACTGGAACAAGTAGGTTTGGGTCTACAGAAGTATGCAGTTTGTTAACTGCAGGTGGTGTAGGATCCTCAAAATTTTGGAGGAAGGAAGACCCATCAACTTCCGTGACATTTACAAAGGAGTGTACCTTCCATAGTACTGTTAGGGATTGTGGGTTTTTATTCTGCCCCTCCTCATAGAAGCATAGCACAGCACATATTGGCTGCTTCCAAGGCGCAGAAACTAAACTAGCCCCCCTGTGCTATATCAGCAGCTAGGAATAAAGGACACAAGCCTCTCCCCATGAGGAAAGCACCCAGGGCCTCCCCTTTCTCCGTTTATCACTGGGCATCCATAGAAAAGGACAGCGAAAGTATTCTATCCTCTCAGCAGCAAAGTGCAGGCTCTGCTCCCTTTCCGAGGATTCCAGATGCAGTAGTTATTCCACATTAATTAAACTGGAGTCCAGAAGCCTGAGCCCATTCATACCATGGCAAGAGAAATTAGGGTCCCTTTCATAAGGGTTCTTGACTTTTGAAGGCAGATACATGCCACGAACAGTCTAACAATATGTGATCAATTGAATCAAGAGAGTTAGAACCGCAGTCACATCTCCGTTCATGCTTAGGAATATTTTGAAACCTGCCAGGGAAAAATGGTTAAACACTTGGTTGCATGGTAAACATCACCTTTCCAATGAAATAAAATGCCAATTTCTATTGAATGATATAACAGCAGAAATTACTGTGGCAGTGGCCAATTTTTTAGTTGATGTGATAAGAGTGAAAAATTTGGGAAACTCCGTTTTATGATTTTATAATTAACTTAGATTCTTAGTTGATTGTGTCATTTTCTGTCTCTGATTTTAATGTTGTATATGCCATTAAAGGTTTATTGATTGACTGATTGATTGACTTTTGAAGGCCAACTTGTATTTAAAGGTTTCACACAGTTAAAGATAGAGCACAACAACAACAAAACAGTGGATCGAAACAAGTTGGGGAAATTTGACTGATGGCTTCATTAACTGTGGACAGCGCTTTATCCTCACGTTGTGTGAAACCTTTAAAGAGCTAGTAAAGAGAGAGGTCCTTACAACCGGTAGATTTCCCTTACTTCCAGTTTAAAACCGGCTCTCTTAATCCAGAGAAGTTAACTTTTCCTTTCCTCAACGTTCAGACCTCCGTTAACAGCGTTCAGAACAAAACAAGACACTGCTGAAAACCCCCCCCCACGCC